GGGGGGGGGCTTATTATGATGTATACAATTAATGGAAACTCCGCTAACACAAAGAGTATTTTTTCTTTAGATGAAAGTTTGATAATATTGAGGATATTCTTTGGTTCTGCTACAAGTTGTCTCTCTCCCAAAGAAAGACAGTTCTAGTGACAGTTCTTTATCCTCAGAGCGGTGAACATGGTGGAGCCAGCTCTTTCCCAGGAGCATCAGATATCGGAATAACTGAACTAGCATTCTGTTTAGGGGACAAAGGCGTGTCCCTCCTAACAGTCTTCTGAAGCTATTTTGCAAGGAGGGTTTGCAAGGAGATTCCTCCAATGAATCTATTCCCACTGCTAGGAGAAGAGCAGGCCTCTTGGGCACTGGTATATAGACTGACTTGACTCAATAAAATCATTCTACTTTCTTCCTGAAATAAATATATTATTATTGTAGGAGACTAAATGTAAGTAAACTTGATATTTACCTGGACTGTAAGTATAAGTCTCATGTCTCTTATGGTTGGTGTTTATTTTTTATTGATGACTCATGGACAAATCTATGTTATTGCAATTTTGGTTTATTCTAAAATAAGGGGAACACTTTTATGTGAAGAATTTATTGTATAACACACACTCCACATTACTGTGTATTTATCAAATATCACTATCCAATAAACTACTCTTCATTAACCTCCTGTTTAAGGCTTGTATTTATAGGACATCATAAGATTGATGTGTGTTTATTTCATCTATTCACAGTTCCTGATGACGTGTTTGCCCAAAATTATATATGGAAAGGCTCTTACAACTTCAAAGGCAGGAAACAACCCATGACCTTGACAGTCACTAGTTTCAATGCTTCCACTGGGAGAGTGAATGCCACACTCAGCAACAGCAACATGGAACTGCTACTGTCAGGTATTGCCTTTCAAGCAACAAATTACGCCTTCATTCCCATCATTTTTGTTAGTGATTTTTATACTGTGAAATATTCGTTACTTTTTTATGACATAATTCATTCAGAAACAGGCTTTCTGTTTTGTTTTGTGTTTTTTGTTTGTTTTTGGATTGATGCATAAACATTTCCACACAAATATAAAACTCTGTGATACCGAATAAAGCTCCCTTGGGAATATTTTTGTGTAACTAGAATGAGACATCATGAAATAGAACAGAACTTTTCATTTGAATATAACTAAATCTCCCTCTGTTCTCATGACACCAAAGAGACTGGACTTGTGATTTGCCATCTATTTTATGGTCACAGAATCGTCTTCAAATGAAAATGTTGAGGGCACCATAAGTTAAGACAGAAGTAGAGCTACACTACTGTAAACAGGCATCAGGCACCCACACCACTGTCCATCTGCTTGGCCTACTCAGGTCTCTGTTTTCTCTATCTAGTGCATGCTTCTCTCATTATCCTTGATTACTGTTTTTGCAGACATTCAGATGTTTTCTCAGATGTCATCTTGTCAACAGTATGCCCGATGAGCCTTCTAAAGTAGCCTTCACACTACAAACACAGTCAGACCATATGTCAGAGGTTAGAACAGCATCTGAAACAAAATAGGCCTAAAATTTTGTCAAACTAATGAATTTGAATTATTGCTCTCAATAAATATATGTTTAAAATATTAATATTGCAAATATAAATATATAGAGAGAGATAGTTTTAAATACCTTGACAGTGTACATAGTCTAAATACAGTAGTTCCCCCTTTCGTGTGGCTTTACTTTCCATGGTTTCAGTTACCCAAGGTAAGTTGTGGTCCAAAAATATTATATGGAAAATTCCAGAAATGAATACTTCATAGCTTTAAATCACAAGCCATCTGTGTAACATGATGAAATGTCGCTCTAATTCCTCCTTCCCTCCCAGCCAGGAAGTGATTCATTCCTTTGTTTAGTGTATCCAAGCTTATGCTACTTAACCTTAGTCACTTAGTATCCATATCAACAGAACGGTCAACAGTAACCTCATGCTAAGTCACAATGCCTCTATCCTTCTCACTTCATCTCATCACATAGGCATTCTGTCATCTCACATTATCAAAAAAAAGAGGTGAGTACAATGCAATAAGATAGTTTGAGAGAGCGTGCACTCAATGTTTATTAGAGTATATTGCTATAATTGCCCTATTTTATACTTATTGTTGTTAATATCTTACTGTGCCTAATTAGTAATTTAAAGTTTATCATAGGTATTTATGTTTAA